AAAAAAACTAATAATGTTTCAGCCAAACAATATGTGCCGTGCGTGAGAAGTAAAGCCGCCATGTATGTATATTTATATGTGTATAATTTGGCCGGAATACTAAGACCTAATTTAATCAATATGCCTGAGAATGATTCAAATTTACATTTAAAAAAAATTAAATAATTCGAGTCAGGTGAATATAAACTTCCCAATAATATTATGATGGTTTAATAATCCTTTGATATGCAAAAGACACCACCCGAGAGTTTAGTCCTAGTTTTCATTTTAAGAAGAAAAGTTTATTCTTTTTCATACCCCCAAGATGGTTCCATCCTGTTATAAGCGTGCAACTTTTCCAAACTAATTTTATCAATTTGAATGTAGTTGTGAATACATTCACTGAGCACACAAAAACTGAAACGATGCCCAGCGACTTTTTAGTAAATATATTTATGTACATGTATTGTTAAGATGTAAAATAAAAGTCATTGGCCTCAATGCAAGTTAAATTGTTATTTTAAACATTATTTGAGTTTATGTATTCATATAAAAGTTTCGAGCCAAATAGTATTCGTTTCTCGTTGTACTCGTTGTATAAAGTATAAAGTTACAATATTCACGTACAACATATTAATAATCGATGAAATTCCGGTGCTTTGTGATTCTTGAATTGTTTTTACGTCAAAAAGTAAGACTAATAATAAATGTAGGTAATAAAATACGAACGAAAAATAACATAATTAGTAATATTCTAAGTGAGAGTTATTGAAAAGTTGTGAAATTATACGAAATTACCAACAGGACAATCGATCATGGGAACTATAATCTGGGATCTCACAACTTTCTGGAATTTTAAGATACTGAGAAAAACGATCATGTTGTAATGTATTATCGGTGTATAATTTTCAATACACAGAGGGATTATATACAAATTTATATAGAACTTTTTAAATAAATCTTGTTACTAAGACCTGGTTTAACAATTTTACACACACAGAAAAATACGTTTCTATGGAACCCCAATAGAGTTATCGCTTTTCGTAAAATCTGATAAACTGCCAATAAGTTTCTTTAAGTCGTGTAATCTAAGAGCTTACGACATTTGAATTATTTTATATACTATTATTAATTTAATTATTTGTTTTTGTTTCTATAAATATGATCAATACTTAACGCATGACATACCAATAAATTAAGTATATACTCGACATAGTTTTAATTATACTTTATTTCAAGCTTATAAAAATATATTAAACACACTTGGTAGTGCAGTTTTATTTGGTGTAAGTACTTATTTACTATAAATATTATAGAGTCAACATCTCATTATTTCACTCGGTATTAACCAACTCTTTCACTAGACCTTTTACTTTAAATCGTTAAATTTATATTTTTTTCTTTTCGAATATTTTATTATAAATAAGATTTAAGTGTAAAAAAACAAATACTTTTTTTTCATTTTTACGAAAAACTTAATCTTTCCCGGTCTGATGCCTTATGGTATCATTGGTAATATATACAAGGATATATACTTTATACTTTAAAAAATAAACTTAACTTTTTTGTCAACGTAACAATAAAAAATTTTTCATAACAATAAAATAATTAAAGCTTATGGCACTTCACATTGTACACATCTTGTTCACTACAGTAAAACATTGTAATATTAATAAAATAATGAATTTTCATCTTAGTGTCTTAAAAAATATTCAGAATATAGTTAAATTAATATTTATGCATAAGGGAAATTAACATCTTGAATATAATAATGAATTCATAATGATAAAAAATTACAAAATAAAACATAAACTTTTTATCATTTGACTATAGTATAATTATATTATAAATATTTCTCGTAGTTACATCTGAAATAATTTCGATCAATATTACAATGTTAAGTTATATCACATTAAGTCCATTTAGAATAGGATTGAATACAGTAATCATATAATTTTTCGCTTAGTGTACTAAGTTGATACTATTATCTTGCACAATATTTTAACTGATCAATATTGTTCGACGGAAAATCATGAATATATAGAATATTGTCGTATACTTCATTGTAATTTATTATTTTATTTAACATTAATTATGTACTGTTATATAAGAAATAAAATATGATTTTCACCTCAGGCCTTCTCAAAAAAAAGTGTTTTGTAAAATAATCTAAATATTTTAAGCATGCCGAGTTCTTTACATTTGTGCAAATAATTTGTTTCGTATATTATTTGATACGCATTATTATTCTCAATCGAAAAACTTTATGTTCAAGAAAATGTACGCAAATATGTATAACTGTATGTTGTTCTATACGAAAACGAAAGAAACTGCTATCGCAAAAAAATTGAATAAAGGTATATATATTTTTTACGGAAGACTATTGTGTTAACGGTGAACTTTCTGAACAAATATATAATATAAATATGTATTTATATATATATATATATATATATATATATATATA